ACTTAGCTTCCTGTCTTCAAAATGAAAAAGCTGGATAAGATAATCTTTCCCTGGACTCTCCTTGAATTACAACACCCATAAGGAAAACAAGAGCTGCTGAATAAAAAATCATGCTTGTAGCTAGACAAATGCAACTTAGACCCACATAAGAATCAGCTTTTCATTTTTTTGGTGAAGGAAAATGCTTGAGGACATTTGGCTTAAGGAAACAAGGCTGACTGCTATATTGTCAATAACCAGAAAGAAGCAGCAAGTCAGGGGGAAGGGCATTAGAAAAGCCTTGGATCAGAAAGAAAAATAGACCTCACCTAGGTGAGGCAATGAAGAATTGCAATACAAAAGAAATGACCTGGAAGGTATACACTAGAATGGGAAACCAAGGGCAAAAGAAGATGCTCTCAGAACACACATAAGATAGAACCTGCAAGCCGGGCGCGGTGGCTCACCCCTGTGATCCCAGCACTCGGGGAGGCAGAGGCAGGTGGATCTCTGTGATCCACCCTGGCCTAAAGAGTGAGTTCTAGGACAGCTAGGGCTACCCAGAAACTCTGGGGGCGTGGGGGATAGAACCCATAATCTAATCTAAACGTAAGGAAAGCTAAGAGCAACCTTAACTGTCTTCTTTGTATTTTAAACTAATGGAGAAAGTGGTAAATAAGCAAAGCATTCTGAAAGCAGCAGAAGCTGATACCCAAACACTGCCAAAGCAGAGCGTAGGAGTCCTATCTGGTAAAATCAAAACCAACTGCTAAGGAAAATGAAGCTTGGGACTGCAAAATTCTTGATATTAACCACTACAGCCAAATAGGTATGTTACATTACTTGAAAAAAAAATTTAAATAAATGCCTCTACCAAAACTCCTGGGCATACCTCCTGACAGTCAGCACTGATAGATCACTGCTGTCTTCTTTGTGAACTCCTTTTTTCTTGCCTGCCAAAGTGGTGACAAAAGCAGTAAACTCAAGACACTCACAGACAGGCGTCCTGCCTTCTCCTCCCCACCTCCCCTTCCATCCTTAACTTCACAACCTATCAATCAAGCCAAAAGCAAGGAAGCAGGCAGGAATCAGAAGCTCCAAGTGTTTATTTCTTGGCACCCCTCCCCCATCTTTTCTGTATATTCAACAATCCGGGACAGCAAGGGCTGCTAAGAGCCATCTCATTTTCTCTAGGTGTGGTGGAGCCTAGCACCAGGAAGAGAAATACACATCCTAAATTGATAGAAAATTCAGACACTTACCTTGATAGAGAAAGCCCTGGGGCAGTTAATTTGAATATTCAGTACCTACTCAACAAGGGACAATTCTAACCAGTACCAGAGACTCCTCTCCTGTTTGGAAAAATGGGTGGGAGGAACTGGAAAGATGGCTCAACTCACACTTGTAATCCCAGCATTCTGGGAGGCAGAGGCAGACAGATCCTGTGAGTTCAAGGCCAGCCTGGACTACAAAGAGTCCAGGACAGCCAAGGCTACACAGAGAAACCCAGTCTCAAAAAAAAAAATCACACTAATAAGGAAATTAAAGATATTCACACTCTGTCTTTTGGGCTGGAGAGATGGCTCAGAGGTTAACAGCACTGGCTGTTCTTCCTAAAGGTCCTGAGTTCAATTCCCAGCAACTACATGATAGTTCTCAACCATCTATAATGAAATCTGGTGCCCTCTAGATCTGATGTGCAGGTATATATGCAAGCAGAATACGGTATAGACAGTAAATAAATAAATCTTAAGAGAGAGAGAGAGAGTATTTGCTATTGATGCAGAGGACCCAGTTTCAATTCCTAGTGCTCACATGGTGGCTAATAACTATCTGTAACTTCGGTTTCAGAGAATCCAATGCCTCTTCTGGCCTCTGTGGATGTTGAATGCATGTACCCAGACATACATTCTGGCAAAACACCATTTACACAAAATAAAAATAAGTAAACTGAAGAAGGAAAAAAGAGGCAGGAGAGGACGTGGTGCCTCAGTTAGGATATCTTCCAAATTTTGAGTTTACCCTCTTCATGATAGCTCCCAGCTTGATTTCATCACACATGTTTTGCTGTTTGGGTTTTGTTGATTGTCTCTACAAAAAGTAACATTCCAAACTAGTTATATCAGAGGCAAGCCCATATTTTAGGGGAAAAAAAATCTTGAAGAGGTTTCAAAGACTCTGCTTGCAACACTGATCAACACTCCCTGATCAGCTATAGCATGCAACACCCTGGGGTTCCAAGCTCTCAAAAGCTGAGGTCCCTGAGATCCCCGCGAAGCCTCACCTCTCCTTCTCATCCCCCTCTGTGCTCTGGAATCAAGACCAAGCCCTGTGCGTTCTGGCCAACCACTCTTCCACTGCGCTGCAACCCCAGCCAGACCCTTTCCTTTTCCACTTTAGCTCATCTAGTCTCCTCTTTCCATTCCAGAAATGTTTTTTCCTTGCAGAGTGTGCTCATCTCCTAGCAACTTCCAAACATTTACTTAAATATTTTATTAACCAAAGATAATATGGTAAAGCACCTTTGAGCAAGTGTGTCCAAATGGGGTTCCAGAGTACAAAGTAAGGAATTTTTAGAAAGCAGACTCAGCTAGGTAGGCACTGTGTATTACTCATTCCAGCAACAAAGAGGCAGGGGCAGGGGCAGAGGCAGGAGGACTTCCTTGGATTCAAGAACAGCCTGGTCTAGCTGGGCATGGAGGAGCACTCCTTTAGACTCAGTGCTCAGCAGGCAGAGGCAGGCAGATCTTTCTGAGTTGGAAGCTAACCTGGTTTACCTGAGTTCTAAGACAGCCTGGGCAACACAGAGAAACCGCCTTGAGGAAAATAAAAAAAAGGCAAAAACAAATATAAAACAACAACGAAACCAACCAACCAACCAACCAACGAAAAAAGAATAGGTTGGCCTATAAAGTAAATTCCAGGCAAGTCAGGGTTATATAACAAGGTCCGCACAGGAAAAAATAAAAAATAATAAATAAATGAATAAATAAATAAATAAATAACCACTAACAACAACAAAAATAAAATGTGCTTATGGTAATGTTGAGCTGCACAATAAATCATATGCTTCTCAAAATACTTCCCAAAAATTATTCTCCCAAAATATGAAACATTTTTTTTCTCCCTTTTATCTCCCACTGGACTGCCCCATTCTTACTTAGACTACTAAGAGAGACAAAGCTTATAACAAAGTTACATGAGGGGGCAAAACTCCCTAGCACCAAGATGTAATAGCTAAAGAAAGGCCAAGCGTATTTTAGGCAACTGGACACCCAAATGGTTGGTCTATGCACCTATAGAAGAGAAAACAGATTCCATTTCTTCCTTAGAGGAAATCATGAACACAGAATTCAATCCAATACAAAGCTAAGCAATATTAATTCCTTCACCCACAGTGAATTTAGACGATTCCAACACAAGTACTCTAAATGATGAGAAAATAAAAGACCACCCTCAGGACTACCTTTCCACAAAGAACAATGATTGTGAAAATGGATATATGGTAGGGACTTCCTGAAGCCAGATGTAGGGAACAGTCTAATGGGCCTGGAACAGTAGCAAAAGCTCCTGGTACTCCCAGGCCTCTTTAAAACAGCATTATCCATCTGCACCCCAGAGAAAATGGCAAAGCACAGCCAGCACAGGATGAACCATGCCAATAACCAGCTGGAACTTGACTCTGCCGAGGTGGACTACAGCATCTGCCACCCAAACACAGGCAGCCTCTCTGGCAGCTGCTACTGGCAAAAGGGAATCAACCATTGTGTTATATAACCAGAAGAAATTCACAGCCCTGTTACCAAAAATGCCCAGATGTAGCAACAGATGTGCCAGAGGCAAAGACCAAAATACCTACAGCAAAGAAAGCACAAGCTACCACTGAAATCCAGGCAGTAAGAGGCCACCACCACCCAAATATACATATCCAGCCTTTATTTATTAACACTTAAATATGGAAATAGGTATTCCCTGCTGCAACTGATGTAATTACAGAGAAATCAATTTATGCCGCATCTGCTGCGATCAGCCAAATGCATAGGGTGAGCAGAGCAAAGCGGAAAATCAAGAGCCAAAGAACAGCTCATCACCAGGCCAGCTGCTCTGTAGGAAACTGTAGGCTGCTCAAGTCTGAGGCAGCCTGAGCTGACCCTAGACTGGAAACTACTCTACTATAGCCCTACAAGCTTCATTTCCTGAAATATCAACTCAGATCACTTTCCTGGAGGGAAGGACTCAGTCCTAATGCCTCCTGGGGCTGCAGGCACCTATGCTTCCAAGTCCAGCAGAAGGGGAGGTATTATTACACTATTTGGCAGCAATAAAACCACCAGGAGACTTTGATTTCCGATGGTTGCAGGAGATAATTGGCAGACAGCAATACTTTCAGGGGCCAAAGAATCTTTCTAGGCCAAACTTTCAAAGCTACCACAGTAACTCGTAAGGCCTGATTAGTTCCTGCATAATATAGTTAGTACCTCCTGCTCCTTGTTTACTAGACTGTATCTGTGTACAGCTTTGGTTTTTGGTAGCCATCCCTTAGCAGATAAGGCATGACAATTAACTCTTTGGCCTGCCAGAGAACCAGCAGTACCATTTCTTCCCACTAAGAGGATCATTCAGTTTAAACATGTAACCAAAAACCTATTACACTTATCAACTATTATGATTCCGATGACGCAATTTCAGCCAAGGAGGAAATCACATGAAGATTTAATGCCAACGTCTAGCAACAAGTGTCTGACATGTGACAATAACAAGGTATGAGAAAATTCCTTCTCCAAAGTAGCTGACCCCCAAACAGAAATCGTATTCCAAGAGGTCTGGGCCTGCTGCAAATATCTCTGTAGGGAATCCTTTAATTTGGAGCAAAATCACATTATCATTACCAGCTGCTCTGACCTTGTAATTGGTCATTACCCACAAACTAATGAGCCTCCCACAGAGTGCACACAGCATTTGGCAGTTAGTCTGGGGCAGTTCTGACGGGCAGTGGACAGCTAGATCTGGCCACCTCTTACCTTTTCAGACTTGACTTTCTTTAGCGGCCGACACTCATTCTCCCCTTCCTCTGGCTCCGGCTTAGTTCCCAAAGGATTGAGCGCTGCCCCAGGTTCAATAGCTATACTCCCAAGCGGCTCCACGGTTCCTGATTCCATCCCTGCACTTGCATCATACTGACCACCCCGTCCTCCCAAGGGAACTGGCTGGAGGACCCCAGAATCCTTTTCCGAACAAGTCCCCACTCCTTCACCTCTCTCCTTCTTGCTCTTAGAGGAGCTGTTCTCCTTTTCCTTTTTGGAGCCAGCTACAGTGCGTGACGCCTTAGCAGCCTTCTCTGAGCCCTTGGGGGCAACAGCAGCAGCCAGGCCTCCTGCATTGGTACCATCTCCTGAGCGACCCTGTACCTCTTTCTTGTTTGCTGCTCCCTCACTTGGAGAGAACAAAGAAGTCCCTGGAGTGGGCTTGCTAGTGTCTTTGCCACTCTTACTCCTTTTGGATTTTGCTTTGCCTTCCTTCCCTTGAGGACCTGGCACTGGGGTCACAAACTTGATGTTGTCTGGCAGCGTGGCCACAGCATTGGGGGCTGGCATCCCCACCTCCTTCGAGCCTGACATTTCCAGTTTCTGCTGGTCTTTCTCCAGATCGGCGTCCAGGTCAATGATGAGATTCCCTACTCCAATGTCCCATTCATCCCCACTGTCGTATGTCTCAACCGGGTTTGCATCCACTCCTTTCCCTCCGGAGGCTCCACTGCTCAAGGACATCTTAGAGTCAACGTCCCACCTCAAGATTCAAGGCTCTTCCTTGCCCCCAGCTTTCCTATTTTCAGCTTCAGCTATGTTCTCAGACCTGCCTCCTTGGTCAGAACATGTCCAGTGGACAACATCATTGCTGGAAAAAGAAAATTTTAAAAAGCTGTTAAAGAAAACAGTACAGGCAAGGAGATAGCCTGAAATAAACTCCCATACAAAATGGACCCTTCCTGGGGGACTATCATACTTCAGTGGGCAAGACAAGTTCAATCGTATTTCCAACCAGGTCTCACTGGACCTAGAAAAGGTTAATCCCACTCCACCTCCTCAGGGAATAATACAGTATTTCTAGTTGCCTAAGATTCTGTGTTGGGTGTTACCTAGTAGTCCTCTACAATTAGCTCCCCCTTCCTCAAAGACTTAACTTCTGCCCCCACTGCCAGCTGGCAGTCCGTCTGCATCAGTACAGGCCCCAGCACATCACAGACTAAAGCTGCGACACCTCCGTCACACCCCTTTCTGCTGGCTGCTTGAATTATCAGTGACTCAGAACATGATCTAGCAAAAGCCTTAACAGCTCTCTAACAGGGTCAGTCCCTCCTAAAAATATATACAGATTCCTTGCCATTCAGTACTGAAGAAAGAAGCCTCATTGTGGCTAGGGGAAAGAAGAAAAGGAAGCAGAACTAGGGAAAATGCAAACTCTTTGTGTGATTGCAGCCAGAGGAAACAACTCTCAGAGGGGACTCACTTGATCCCAGAGAAGTTACATAGTTCTTATCAAACTCCAGGCTGGAAATCATGTACACAAAGGAGGGTTCAGTATACCCTTTCCCACAAAGTATTTAGAAAGAAAAATGTTTTCCTTGACTCTGCTGAAAGCCCATTTCCCAAAAGTAGAATGATTCTCTACTTTTTTATGGTAAGATTTAAAGAACTGACTTAAAAAACATCAAGGCTTTACACCACATGGAACAGAGACTGCCTTTAAAAGGATAATTTATGTTTCTCCACTGTCCTCTTAGGAGACAGAGAGGGAAACATTACCTAAAAAACCCAGCAACCAATGTGTTCCATCCAAGTATTATTTTATGATGAAGCCAAAAGTTTTGTTGTTGCTTATTCCTCTGTGCATTAACTTTCTAAATCTGTTTAGAAAACAAACTTTTGTAACACAATTGTATATAAAGAACAACCCAGTGGTGTCACAGAGCATCCTAGAAAGTGATTACTTAACAAGTAGTAAATAATTCATATAAAACAAGGCAAGCAGTGATTTTCCACCTATTCTGTCATAAGAGTGTCTAAAAATAAGGGTGCTGAGGCAAAAAGAAAGAGAGAGAGAGAGAGAGAGAGAGAGAGAGAGAGAGAGAAAGAAAGGAAGAAAGAAAGAAAGAAAGAAAGAAAGAAAGAAAGAAAGAAAGAAAGAAAGAAAAAAATGCATCCTAGAAGCACAGGGCTGTACCAAGCGAATACATGCAAGTCCCTGAGATTTAAGCAAGGTATGTACCTCAATCTGCAGTTCAGCTTTAGATCTGAGAAGCACACCCATTACCCAAGTAGAAAGTTTATTGTCAACAGCAATCGATTACTGTCGATTTATTAGCAAATATCAAGTCTAGATAAATCTTGCTTCCTCTAGGAGGACCTACAGTAAGGGTGGGAGTATAAGATGTAACGATTAAGAGAAGAAAAATCACTTCATTAGAGGTAAAGGGAACAATCCCTGACAAGTCTGAGAAATGAGGATTTTGAAAGTGACCTAAGAATTCTAAAGAAATTTGTAGTGAACTGTTTGGAATACTCAAGAAAACTTGGTGTCTAAGAGTAGTATAACAGATATCTGTTCATTCAGCTGATATTCTTAAAACTTATTCCCAATGATGTGCCAGGCATTGAACGAATATCAGAAATATAGCAACAAATCACAGTGAAAAAGGCAGTAGAACTTAGTACTGAAAGCAATTCTCTTGCAAGGGACCAAGGGCATTTCTAAGAAGGAGGGCACTTAAACTGAATTCCCACCACAGAGAATTATTACAGCTCACCACTTCTCTAAATCATAATGCATCACCTCTGCAACCTCTTTACTTATGACCAGGTTTAACATCTACTCACAGTAATTAAAAGTTTACTCACCATCTCCAGAGCTGTATTATCATCAGTGTATAATTTAGCCACTGCATGACCTCCTGTTGTTTTACCCTTGGAAAACAACTATACCTTTCCTTACATTTAAGAGAGTTTTCTCTAGAAAATAGGATGGTAATAAAGAGAGATTGGATGAGAGAAAAAGAAAGCACAAACATAAAATTACTTGGACTTAATAAGAGTTCTTTCTTCACTATACTGTCTGACTTGTATAAGAGCAAGACAAAGTATGTCAATAAGAAAGAAAAGCATGAAGAAGGTGAGAGGCTGAAATGAAAAGCTATAACTTAACTGAAAGGACAAAAGGACATACATACCACTAGGGGGCGTGGTAGAGTGCTTGCCTAGTTGCTCATCAAATACACACAAAGAAAGTTGCCAAGTAAATGAAACTCAGCATCAATTAAAACCAATAAATAAAAGGACAAAAATAAACCTGTGCAATAAGATCATACAAAGTTATTTTTTTTTCAGAATGTGAAGGAAGTGGACAATAAAAAGAAAATAATAAAAGAAACCAAGAGATGCCACATTTAGTACCACTGAAGGGTTTAGAATAAATGGGAGAAAAGTAACCTATCAAAGACAAAATTCAGGAATATCACCTTGAGTAGAACAAAGGCTTTTCATGCAGACTGGAAATGGTCACTACATGTTCAGCAAATTCATTTATTTAGAGACAGAACCTCAAGCAGCCCAAGGTGGCTTCAAACTCCCTATGTAACTGGAGATCACACCTAAACTCCTGACCCTCATACATCCCCGCCTTCCCAGGGCTGGGATGTCAGGCTTGTGCCACCACATTCAGCTTTTTTTTTTTTTTTTTTTTTTTTTTTTTTAAGACTAGATAAGGTCTTACATTGTCCAGGCTGATCTCAAACTGAGCTCAAGTAAGCCTCCTCCCTCAGTTTCCAGAACATTTAAGATTACAGACATTTACCACTATATCTGGCTTTGTGGAATTACTTTTTTTAAAAGAAAAAAAAAAAAAAAAAAAAAAAAAAGCCAGGCAAGAAAGGGGGGGTGACATTTTAATCCCAGCACTTGCGAGGCAGAGGCAGGAGGTTCTCTGTGACTTCTAGACCAGCCTGGTCTACAGCAGAGTTCCAGATCAGCCAAAGTTAAAAGAAGCCCTGTCTTAAACCCCTGCGATAGAGATGAGAGAAATGAGAGAGAAAGAGGAAGAGAGAGAGAGCACAACACAGGCCGTATGAGATGGTCTCAAAAAATAAACAGAACACCCCCAAAACCAAACAAACTGGGGAAAAAAAAGAAAAAAAAATCTACAGAATTGAAAAGAAAAGGTTGGGCAAGAATCTTATACTAGAAGCTATAATGACCTCCCTTAAAAAAAAAAAAAAACGTTTCTCTGTGTAACAGTCATGGCTGTCCTAGAACCTGCTTTGTAGACCAGGTAAATCTCAAACTCACAGAGATTTGCCTGCCTCTGGCTGGAATTAAAGGTGTGTGCCACCATGCCTGGCTGTAAATAAATAAATACTTTTAAAAATCTTATACTGCTGGGTCTGCTGGCAAAGTTCCTTGGGAGAATGAGACAGAAGACTCACAACTCTGGCAACAGCCAGGGTTAGAGTTAAGTTCAGTATCACTCTGTGCATCCTAGTGAGATTCTGTTGGGAGGCAGAGGCAGGTGGATCTCTGTGAGTTCCAGGCCAACTTGGTCTACAAAGAGAGTCCAGGGCTACACAGAGAGACCATGTCTCAAAACACTAAAAACCAAAAAAGAGACTCTGTCTCAAAAGTAACAAAAAACATTTTTAAAAAAGAAAAATCAGTTGGGTCAAATGCCCAAAAATCATATAAAAAGTTTTACACTGTAAAGTTTTTTTTTTTCTAATTTTTATTTATTTATTTATTTGTAAAGTTGTTTTTTAATGTGTCAAAACAGTTTTGTTTTTTGAGACAGAGTTTCTCTGAATAACCTTGGCTGTCCTGGACTCTCTTTACAGACCAGGCTGACTTTGAACTCAAGAGATCCTCCTGCCTCTCCCTCCCTGTCTGCTAAGATTAAAGGCTTGAGCCACCCTGTCCCGCAACATGTTTAATTTTAAAAAAAGAAAAAAAGATTTATTTATTTAATGTGCATTATTTATTTACATACTTAATTACTGATTTTATTTTATATGCACAGGTGGTTTATCTGTATGTGTCTGTGTTAGGGTGTTGGATCCCCTGGAACTGGAGTTACAAACAGTTGGGAGCTGCACCTTGGGTGCTGGGAATTGAGCTCTTCCTCAGAAAGAGCAGCAATCGTGTGTGTGTGTGTGTGTGTGTGTGTGTGTGTGTGTGTGTGTGTGTG